AGAACTCATATATAATGGGTAAAGAATACTGGAGAATTTTCATTTATGGAAAATATAAAGGTTATTTCTGCGAAATAAAGTTCATTTTCGTGGAATAAAATTGATATTATTAAATGTTGACTTGATTTATTCGCGGGATACAAAGTTTATTCGCAGAGGTCAATAATATTGATTTCTGCGAATAAACTGTGTATCCCACGAATAAATCTTCAAGTATCTTTTTCTTTAGTGTATGCCACGCATAAAATTTGAAAGTGAAAAATGTAATTGAAATTTTTCAATTGTACAAGAGTCAGATGTGCGCGACACGAGATCTCTTTGTGCACGATCCCTCTATTTTTTGAAAGCGCGTGCATCTCGCACATCTTTCACTTTGAGAAATACACTCGAATCTATTTATAACGACAGATCACGGGGGCGATTGACCGCGTGGCCTTGACTTCCGATTGACCCGACGATTCGCAGGGGTTTTCGGCACTGCACGCGGGGTTTCCCGAAGGCGTTCGGGAAAGGGATGGAGGGAGCTGCTCGCTAATCTCGCTCTGCAATCAACAGAGCTCGTAATTAACAAACAGGGACGAGTTGTCGCGTGAGCGGCATCGATATTTCCGCGCTTGCAAAATTTGAAAAAAAAAATACTTGACGATCCTGTCCCACACACGATTTCGTTTTATTCTCACGAACGGTGCAGCGTACAAATTTTCGAGGATCCAACAGCGAAAAATGCCCTTAATATTTTATATTCGAACGTTAACTCGTACGTTTTTTTTCCACGACCGCCGCGCAGTCGCGAAAATTGGACTCGTCGAGAACGGTATCGGTTTTTGCGGATCACCGCTCTCCGGATAATCCCGGGGGATAGAGAAGAGGGGACATCGACGACCTAATCTAATCCTCGTGGCAGCGATTTTCGCTATTTACATCGAACGATTCTGCGCGAATGACTCTGTTTAACTCGACGCACCGCTCACACCGCCGCCGCCGCCGTCGCCGCCTCCTTTTTTCGCTTTTTTCGCAATCGCTCGGAAACCTGTTCGCACGAGCAGCGGCAACGGAATGTCCGAGTAGCTCGCTCTCATCTCATGGGATCGAGCCGAGACGCCGCGCCGGCGAGATCGTTTCGTTCTCTACGGCGCTCTCGTTCGAGATTTCACGCGTTGCCTGCGACCGTGAGATTTTTCAAAGCGGGACCCCTTTCCAGTAAAGATGCTCATCCGCGAGATCGTTCATTTCGCGATACTCTCGTATCGATCGGTCGTCTGTCACTTCTCAAACGATCCCATCTCCCGAGCACCGACGTGCGAGTTGTCGCGTCGAAAATAGTCTCGAGAGATCTCCGAGACTATTTCTCCGAGTTGTATACGTGCGGGATGCACGAGAAGAGACACGTGTCTGCAAAGTAGTGCCCACACGACGAGGGCCGCGCTCGCCGCAGCCTAGATGTGTGTTCCGCTCGTCGCCGACACACATTCACGCGAACGAGCCTGTAAACGAGGCGTACGCGAGAACGTGGCTTTCCGTTTCTCTCTCCTGGATTCTAAAATCTCTCTTCCTAACATTCTCCCGGGCATCAATTAGAACCGGCACAGCGAAAGAGGAAGAGAGAAAGAGAGGACCCCTCGTAGGAAGCTCGCGGAGGAGGTTGCCGAGGAATGAAGGCTAACGACCTTGACCTTGTCTGTGGTGTGTAGGACTGTGTGTGCTCGTGGTCGCGCAGCGGAGAGAGAGAGGGAAGAAAGAGAGAGAAAGACAGTTCAAGATAGAGAAAAACGAGAAAAAAACGTTCGTCAAAACTGACTGGCCTGCTTTCTTATGCGGCTCGTTGCGACGAGACGAGAAAACGCGAGAATCCAGGTAAGCGACGACAACGGCAAGCGAAGAGATGGCGAGTTCGATGACTAAGACAGATGCTAGGTGTCCTCGACGCGACGACCGCGTGACACATCGTCATCCGATACTCGCCCGGCTCGTTGCTTAACAGGACCTCTATCCTTGACGAAAGACAAAGACAGACAGATAGACAGAAAAAGAGAGAGATTCTGTGTGAAACACCTATTTCATGTTTCTCTTTCCCTGTCACGTCTAACGCAATCTATTCAACTACTTTCATAAATTCATAATGATAGAGAAGAACGAGGAGATATCTCGAGTCGCATCGTGATTATCTCTGACTCGATCCTCATTCCCGTCCTCGACCGCGCTGGGACGCTCCTCGTGACACGACGACGTGCGTCGCTTTACTCTCGCGGGAGAGCTCGTCAATGAGACGCACGGCGGCGAGTCGACGACCGCGAACGGCGCGGAACGTCGCGGCGGCGGCGGCGGCGGCAGTGGAGGCGGCGGAGGTGGAGGCGGCAGCGATGATGGTGGTGGAGATGGCGGCAGTGGTAGCGGCGGCGGAGGGATGCTGTCCGCACACTCGGAGAGTCGAGTCGTGCCGCATCGCAAGGAAAAAGAGAGAAAATCGCAGGGAGGGAAAATCCGGCCCGACTCCTGACCTCCAGGAGGAGTAGGAGACGTGAGCGAGGTCGTTCTGCGATCGATAAAACGCGCTCTCGTGCGACGCGACTAAAGTGCGAAGGAACTTCGCGTGCGGAGAGAAAGAGAGAGTAAGGATATGAATAGAGGCAGAAGAAAGGAGAGGGAGAGAGAGGGAGAGAGAGAGAGAGAGAGAGAGAGAGAGAAGCAGGAGAGCGCATCAAGAGAGAGTATCGAGTATGACATACGAAATTATTCGATCCGCACGCGTTCCTTTTGTTTCTGGATCGTTTCCCTGCGCAGATATTATTAGAATAACCTGCAAATAATGCAGTCTCGTTGATTTCGCCAATTAATGCGCACTCGCGCTATCGGAGACGAAATCAACCGTGACTGCACCGTTCTGCTTGAGCGAGTGTAGATTTTCGCGCGCGAGCGCGCGCGACACGACACAACAAAGTGCGGCGTAACACACTCTGCGTAACGATATTCTAACGACAATAGAATAATCATTACGATCGCGCGGGTCGTGCCTCGCCTCTTTTTCTCTCTCTCTTTCTCTCTCTCTCTCTCTCTCTTCGCGCGCGGCCGAAACCCGACGCGAGACTTCCGTCGCGGGAGCCCGCACAAAATTTCATCGTGAGCACCCCTGAGCGACGAGAAGAACTGGAGAGACGGAGACAACGAGAGGACCGGAACAATCGATCTCTCGGCCCGCGGAAAGAGAGCGCGCCGGCTTCTTCCTCTCGCTCTCTTCGTTCCTGTCTCTCCCCGTCCTCGTCTCGCTTTCTCCTGCCGGGCGTTCGTCTGTTTCTCAGGCAGCCGGCTGCGACTGCGGATTCCGGAAACCCCCTCGAGTGGACGAGCGAATGGACTTGAGCGTGGCGGAGCGATACGTGCCGCTCGATTCCACGCGATACGAACGAGTGCCAGCGTATCGTTTCGTGCGGCTATAAATAAAAAAGAACGAGCGTTAAGCGAGTCTTCTCCAAATGGGAAGTCGTCGGCGGAAGTCTCGTCGCGAACACGCGTGGGACTACCATAGGAAATTCCGTCGCGATGACGCGCGCGCTTACGAATACTTCTGTCGTTGCTCTCGTTTTAGTCGATACTGGCTGCATTCAGCTCAGTGAGCGCTCAGTGATTATTGTTTCTGCTTGGAGCATTCTTTCAGATTTTTCATAGAGGTACTTATCAATAGAAATATTTACCAATCAGGAGCGATAATTATTAAGCGCTGCCTGAGTAGCTCTCCGTCGAATGTAGCCACTGACGATATTTTTATTCAACTTATAGTTAGTATTTTGCGTGTGTTCCTCTTTCGAGCGAACGTTGACCACGAATTGATCCAAGTGGAACAGAGGAGCACGATAACGTCACGGTGACGAGAGAACGATCGAATTATGATAGCAAAGCGAGCTTTTTAATCATTTTCTGATCATTTCGACGTCATTTTGTACATTACGTGATTTTCTTATTCTGCCTGGAATTATGGCGACGTTCGGCTTTTATGTGTACCAGTCGCAGTCAATGGAACACGAGCGGGGGTGAAAGCGTACGCTTCACCACCCGCTGCTGCCCGAGACTCGTTCCTTTTTCCTCGCCTTCGCTAGGCTACACTTCTTATATTACCTTTTCTCCCTTCATATCGCGATTTTATTTCAAAAATTGTGCGTTTATCGGCACCAACATGCCGTCTCCCAGACAGCACAAATGTCCAAAATTGAGTCATAAGACGTCTCTAGAACGTCTTTAAGACAATACCTTATAAACTTGTCTTAAAGATGTCTTAAAGACGTCTTATGACCCGATTTTGGATATTGTATTGTCTGGACCGTTTCTATTGCTATTCTCATGACGTTCAGCAGTCGGCGCTCGATTGCTATCTTCTCCACGATGATGCGACGATTTTTCTGGATCTTATTAACGGAAGCATCGTAACTTCGCGTCTCTTATTCTTCCGCTGCGGTCAAAGTATACCGACGGCGTTCGGGTGTTACACGTCGCGCGTTTTCATGCCGCGACGCGTAACGAGCAGCGGCGATTTGTTTTGGACATACCACGGTAGGACTCGGCTGGAGAACGTAATGAATGCCCTCTTCCCTCCTTCGTTTTTCTCTTTCTCTCTCCAACCATTCCTCCCTCGCGCTTCGTCCCTCGCGCCCTACAGTCGTCGCGGCGCTCGACGCGTTCGCACAGCCACGGCTGCCAACCGTACCGTGCCTAAACTCGCCGACTGAGAACGCATCTCGCCTCTCTCTTCCTCTCTCTCCGGCTCTCTCTCCGATCAACCCGCCAATCCAAGCACTGCGGCGATCGGCTGCACACTGACCGACGACACGTCCTCGTTGCACCGGCTGCGCCTCCGTTCGTTCGCTCTCCGTCACGCTAAAATCCAAGCGAATACAGCGCGCGCTTCGTCGCTCGTTTGCGCGTGTGTTGAGTGGCGGTAGCGCAGACAGGTGCGGCCGCCGGAGCCCCAATTGGTCGGTGGCTGGCGCCGGCAGCGCCGCCCGACGGCGATTCCGTTCAGTTTCGGGCAAGATGGGCGATGGCGCACCTCGCCGGGCAGTAGCTTAGACTCTACCTACAATACAACACACACACCAAATGTTTCCTATAAACCACAAGTAACAATTAACCAATTGTACATTAATCTTATTTAAGGGAAACAACACGAGAGGAAGAGAGAGACACACACGTCACTACACGCTCTACACGCAAGCTCTATTTTTGTAATAACCCGCCGTAAAAGAAAAAAAAATTTGTAGTGTGCTCCGCGATACACCGCGGGTGTAATTTGTACGACCGTTGAGTGAGCCCCGTTCTCTACGTAGAAGTAGAAAGGTACGTGATAGAAGAGGAACCAGAAACAGGGAGAAGAGCGAGACCGCGCTGCGCCGGGACGAGGTGGACATCGATCATCGTGCAAGACGAGTTAAGAGAGCGAGAAGGAATAACGGAGGAAGAGTAGAGGAAGCAGCAGCGGAACATTAGAAAAGGAGCGACCGTTTGTGTGCGCGCTGTGTGTGTGTGTGCGCGCATATGTGTGTTGTACGCGTGTGCTACGAAGGCACCACGACAGTGGATAGCGACGACGAGAATTACTACTGCTACCACCATCACGGCGAAAAGTAACAGTCGCGAGATATAGTAACGGCCAGGGCAACGACGTCGACGACGAGAACGTCGTTGAGAGTGGTCGCGTGAGAGACGCACGGCTCTCGATTCGCTCGCTCGCTCGCGCGCGCGACGCCGACGGCGACGGCGGCGACAACAACGGCGGAGGGAAAAGCGGATCGACGTAGTGAGGATCGCCGGCGATCAGTTGAGAAGTGATTGGGTACCGCATGCCGACACCACCGCCAGCGCTCGGCGACAGCGGCGCGCTGAAAACGAGGAGCGGCCGATAAGCGACGGCGACTCTCCGGCTCTGCACGACGGTGCTACGCGGCAGTCGCCGTTAGACCCTCGGTATCGCGACGCGGCGTCGCGCAGGCCGCGCTTTCTTTCTCTCTCTCCGTTTTTCCCCCCCCCCTTCGTTTCGGAACGTTCGAGTCGGGTGTGTGTAGTGCGTGAGTGCGTCTGATACGTGTGTATATATATATATATATACACATATACATACACGGTGGAAGGTTAACGACGCTGCCGACGACAACGACGACAAGAAGACGCGCAGGCTGCGCACGAGAGTGGTGCACGACGACCGGCTGCCGGCGTGCTGCTGTGCGGTAGTTAATAACGGCGGTAGCCAATAGTTTAGTTAGTAGTAGTGAAGTGCGCTACGAATCGACACACCCTCTTGACACCCGACATCCGTCGCTCGCATCGCTTCGCTCACTCGTTCTCTATCTTTTTCCCTCTCTCTTTATCTCTCTAGTCTCCGCCGTCTCTGTGTGTCTCTCTCTCTCTCTTCTTTCTCTCTGTCTCCCTCTTCCCGTTGCGCCCTCTTCCCTCTCTTAGTCCTTCCGTCTCTTGGTTCTTCCTCTGTGCACTTACAGAATCGCATACGCGCTCTCTCTCTCTCTGTCCTTCCCTCTTCTGTCCCCACCCCTCTCGCTCTGCCATCGTCTCTTCTTGTCTCTAGCCGTGTTACACGTTCGCTCTTTCTCTCGGTGTGCTCCTTCCCTTCCCTCTACCCTGTCCCTTCCTCTCTGACTCTCTTTTTCTCTGTTCAACGGCGCAAAGTGATTCGTCGCAACGCTAGCGGTCGTGTCTGATTTTGTTGACGACGTTGAGGACGAAAGGAGAAGACGGTCAGTACGTAGTAACCGTACGGCGCGTCGACCTTACGCACAGCACGGTACAGTGCGGTACGGTACGGTCGGTTCCTACCCTACCCACTCTCTGTCTCATCACGCCGCCATCACATTGGGCCATCCGTTTATCCATCCACCCATTTCTCGTTCGGTCAGCGTCTCGCCCAGTGAAACACCTACGATATACGCAGGCGGTCACCACGCACGCAATCCTCTCTCTCGCCAACCAAGTCGCTCCATCCCGGCGGCGGTTTATCGGCCGATCGAGAGAGAGAGAGAGAGAGAAAGAGAGAGAGTGAGTGCGAATTCGCGCAGTGACCGTAAGTGTACATGGTGCGCGCGCGCACGAGCGAACCAACGAATGAGCGAGTGAGCGAGCGAACCAACGAATGAGCGAGTGAGCGAGCGAGCGAACGAACGATCGGCGAATGTATGAGCGCGCTACAGTGTGGTTTTCTTGTCTAGTTCGTTCAGTAGTGTCGCCGGTAGTGAGCGAGGAACGTGCGGTGTAGTGTGGTCCAGTGACGTGACGTGACGTGACGACGACGACGACGACGACGACGACAACGTCGTCGGTATAGCAGCTAAGCGACGTACAGAAGAACGGCGAGGAGGCGCCGTCGACAAGCAGGAGCGGGAGCAGGAGGCAGCGGGAGCAACGGCGCAGGAGGTGGGGAAGGAGTTGAAAGAACCGAAGCGACGGCGCGAAAGCGACCGGCGGCGAGGGCAACGACGACGACGACGACAGCCGACGGTGGTTTTTAGGCTGCGCATCGTCGCGCCGGCGTGAATTGTTATTATTGTTATTATCATTGCTACTACCGCTGCATCGTATCATCGACGGGCGCCGCGCGACTTTTACTACGCCGCTAGCAGCATGTCCGTGAGAATGGAGAACGTGGCCCCGCCGAGGAAGATCAACTATAAGATGATGGTGAGTCCCCATGTTGAGCGACAATTTGTCGATGATTTTTTTTTATCTCTCAGTTCTATTTCGTTCTATCTCATCCTCTGTCTCTTACCCCGTGCCTCTTTCTCTATCTTTCTCTCTCCATCTCTTTCTCGTTTCCTCTCCCTCTCTCGAGTGGCGGCGGTGGCGAGTGCGCATGCTCCCAGCGCGACTCGCCGCTTACTTCGCGCAGCTCTGCTAAAACGACGTTCGCGTGCACGCGCGCGCGAGCGCGTGCTAACGTGGCGTGCGACGACGACGATGACGACGCGAGCAACCATCTAGTTAACCGACGTGTTCACATTTGATTCATCTCCCTTTTCCCCTATGTTGCTTGTTGAATCTCTTCTGTCAATCGATCGTTTCGTATTCCGCATTTTCCATACGAGTTGTCGGTATCTCCTTGGCGTTTCAACAGCAGTTCTCTACAGAAGTCCTACTTTATCCCGGAATCGTTCCGTACTTTCTTTCGATCTCGCGCTCTCCTCTCTCTCGCTCTCTTGTCAACAGGCGCTCAAGCGTGCACCTATCTTGTCCTGAGCGCAGAGTGCGACACGGTACAAGCCAAAAGAGCGAACCTGCCGTCGTTCCATTTTATCTCTTTCATTTTGCAACGCATTTCTCCCGTTTTCGCTCGTTTGCATTTCCGCACGCGTGCACTGTATCGCGCGTGCGCGCGTATTCCTGGAAAACTGTGGACTTTTACCATAGGGGCGGCCGACAGCCACGGACGGCTTGCGGAACCGCCGGCGTAGTTTGACAGTTTGCCGCGGGGCGTCTGCTGCCCCACCCAGTCGTCTCGTTCTCTCCCCTGTTGCCCCCATCCCCTCCCACGTCCCTGTGCCTCTTTCGACCGTGTCTCTCTATCCCTGTTCTCCCCCTTCTGTCTCCGATCCTCTCGCTCGTTCTCGTATGCACGCCGCAAGTATTCAAATCGTCGTGTTTCGATTGGCACCTTGTCGCGCGCGCGATCGCTAATTTTTCCCTTTCAAATCCCACGCGGAAAGCTTTCCTACGATCGTAACATTCTTTAGGAGAAGAGGAAAAAAGCAGTATGATTATGAATAGATGAGGGAAAGAGGAAAAAAGCCGTATGATTTATGAATAGACGGGGAAAAGAGAAAGGGAGAGTGGGAGGAAATTGATAAAGTCGTGAAATTTCGGAATTTCTGGCGCAACACGTAAGCGCGACATTTTAAGAATGTTAAGCGCGACATTTACGAGATCGTAGCGTTGTAAAAATGAGAAGTGGTCGAACGAAATAGCGAGGTCGAGAAGCATGTCTCGCGAGAGGCATGCATTTCTCCTTCGATGCCACGTGTCCCGTATTAGACGAGTGGAACTCGGTGGCAGACAGAGTTGATGCAAGTTGCAACGACGTTCTCTCGTTACGCCGGGCAGCTAATTTTGGAACGGAACTCGAGAAGCTGAATGCTAGAAATTTGCTATGCTCACACTAGGATTTCCCGACTGTTAGGGTCCTTAATTAAGATTACGAGCGCTTACCCTTCGGAAGGTGGACTTAATAGGTCGGCGTCTGTGTGAGAGCGACGACCGAATTCCAAAGAAATATTCTCGACTTACTAGAAATCCGGATTTGCTGCCAGACCCAGCAAGTCCACTAGAATCACGATCCGACTTTCGCGTTTCACGTCAAAATAATTATTTAGGATAGCTTCGGGTATAAATATTGTCACCCTTCTTCCTAAGTATATTGTAGATGTCGCGGTTTTGTACAGAGATTATTTAAAATTAATATTAGGATTGTAAGTAGCTGGTTATACTTGTCTTCTTAGTAGCTGGCTATCGTGGAATTAGTGCGCGAATTCTTGGTCGGCGCTTTACCTCTCGCTAAATACAGTCACCGGTTCACCTCTCGTTGAATACAGTCGTCGCGTCGTCGTCGTCATCGTCGTCGTCGTCGTAAAGAGAAAGAGAGCGAGGTTATCGTGCGCGATGGACGAGTTCAAGCGATCATCGCTACGGAGTCATCGTACAAAACAGCTGTTCATCTCCGGCCGCGCCGCTCAGTGTCCCGATTTAGACTCCTTTTACGCGTACGTTTTTGTCGCGGTGCGATAATTCGGTGATTCGTCTACCGGCTGACTGACCATCATTCCTATTCCCGTAGTGTGCCATGTGGCTCTTAGGTACGTAGAAGCAATTGAATTTTTCATACAAGTGACACAATAAAAATAGAAATTATGATAACATTACGATTGGAGATTGCGGTAAATAATTCATAATAATTTGAGAGAGCGAGGATCTCTCTATTCAGAGTGTCTAGATTTAAATATCCAACTTAAGTGTACAGAAAGGCTGCAATTTTTCGTGTGAATTTGTGAATTTTGCGTCTTGTCTAATAAGAGAAAATTCGTTTTCTAATTAAAGAATGTGTTCTCATTGGACGAAACGGATGAGTTCGCAAACTCACCCAAGAAATTAATCATGAAGTTACGGACAATCTTTCTGTTCACGAGTGTGCATGTAGATCTCGTTAAAATGAATAGAAAAATCATTATTATTTTGTCAATTGCTGCGTAAATTTTTGAGATATTAACAAAAGAAAATTAGTCGATTGATGCACGCGATGCCATAGGGCGAGCTCTGGGGGGCAGTTCGAGCAGATATCTCTCGTGATGATTGACTTTTTCAGTGAATATCGGATCAGCGAGACACGAATCGTGCGTGTCGCTTGACTAATTTTATTTTGTAAATATTTCGAAAATTTACGTGATACTTCATATAATTTCTCTGTTTAGTTTAACAAGTTCTACATGCATAGTTACGGGTAGGTAGATAGTTTGCTTGTTTTTTACGAATTTAAATCTCCATCCTGTTCAATGATAAGAACTTTTAAACAAAAACAGGGGAAACGGATTCTCTCATTGGACAAGATGTATACGTTTCTAAACTCATAAAAAAGACGGATAATCTGTCCATGACTGTACATGATCGGTCAGACACTTAAGTCCGGACATCTTGTATAAGAAACCGATAACACACTCGTGTACAATGGGACAATTGCAGTTTAAAATTCCCTCCCTCTCTCTCACTCTCTCTCTCTCTCTCTGTCTCTCGCTCGCTCGCTCACTCGCAACATCAAAAACGTGAAACGCGCCGCCGCGATGATTAATTGAATCCTTTCGCGCCTCACTCGCGTGTAATTGGCCTCGGATCGCGCGTTAATTGCGGTGGCGAGGTAATGCGCGGGTAGTTAATGAGCGCACCTTGCACCTCGCAACAGCACGCACACACGTACGCACGCACGTATGTACTCGTCAAGCATAAGATGCTCCTGTTTTACCTTCCTCTTCCTCTTTCGTGGACCTTTTGCGACGACCCAATCGAGAAGTAAAGATATTCCTCGCGCTGTTATCTGCCCTGTATTTTCGGTAGCAGCGCACGGAGATAATTGCGCCCCTCAGTTTCCGATCTTATCGCGAACGAGCTGATAATAGAATCGAGCGCTTTGCCTAAATAAATCCCTCGCCAAGAAGGAGAGGGACTGAGAAAGAGAAAGCGATGTCGTGCGAACTTCCTTCGAGTTCGAAAGTCGCTCCACGACGACTTAATGGTCCCCCGAGATATATTCATCGGCGACATGAGTCCGCCTGTAAATTTCACGGCAAGTGCGAAGAACGACACATCGTTCTGTTGGCCGAAGCACGAAGTGCGCGAAGTATGGAGCAACACGATTAATTATCTTGTGAATATCCGATGTTTTCTCAGGCTGCCGTCACACGCCAGCGTCATTTTATCGCGTTGTCAATACACGACGATAATAATGGCGAGCGCTGAAAATAACAGTCCGGATCGTCGTCATGCGGAAAATTGCGCGAGCCGCGGCGCCGTTGTTTCGAAATTATAGCTCTCGTGTTTTTCGGACTAAGCATTTCTCATCTACGGTAGAATGCACGTGCGCGCGCACGGTAAAACTACAAGTGTGCCACTCTGTTGTCCCAAATTCCCTGTGCGTCGTCTAAAAGACTGAAGGAAATTATAATTATAGATTCTTAAATTCTTCACGGCTAAAGACTTCAGGGCGATCCAAAAACGCCAGAATCATAATTTTAGATAATAATAGTGATTTTGAAAATACTTCCAAATCTATCGATCTCTTCAATTTGTGGGTATAATTACAGTTTTTAGGCGATTCGAATATCTCTCCGGGCGCGTGGAATTTCCTTGCGGATTCTGGCGCGGATTGTACTTTTTATAGCCGGTATCAGAACCGCGAGTGCAGCAGCGGCGGAGCGTCGTCATTGTCGGCGTCGAGCATTTAACGCTTAAACGGACGCACGCACGTACGCACGCACGCACGCACGCATGCATGTGCGTCCGCATGCACGAATGCGGCACACTCGGCCACATTCGATTGTGCACATAAACACGCGGCACCACTCGTGTCGGATTTTCCCCGTGCTGCATAATCGTAATGAATGATAAAATCGCCGAAGCCAGCCGAAGGTGGCTGCCTTTTTCGTACTTTAAACCCCGCAATCTGCCCGATAAATATTTAATCAAGATCCTCGAGCGATCCGCCAGCCAGCCGGGGCGATGGGTCGACGCGCCGTTTAATCGCCGATGCGTGCACATTTCGCCGATGCGTGCCAGAGTTCGTTCGCACTTCAAGTAGGGGAAAATGTGCGACAGCCGGCGCTCGTTACGACACTCGCCCGTTTTCGGGCACCCTTGCTCGGATTCCATCGGACATCAAGGTGTACGAGAAGTTATTAATTTGTTAATTGTTTATTCATTATTTATTATTTTTATTAATTATTGTTATTTACTTGTTCGTTTTTTTTTAATTCCACGTACATTTTAATACACGGTAATACGCACGCAAGAATTTTATAGTGAAAATTACAGGATTTTGTAACGAGGGAACAGTTCGACATTTTGCAATGATTCACTCTCTGTTCTTTTCATTTCACATGTGCTACTTATATTTTACGAACTGAAATCCACTTGCTACGTTACTA